TCCATCTCCAGGCGCAGGAAAAGGCGCTCGAAGAGGTCAATGTGCCAGGACGGCACGTTCTTCTTGGCCGCGGAGACGGCCGACATGAACCTGTTCGTGTTGCAGCGCTCCCCAGGGGAGCTCAACCAGACGCGCTTCTTCAAGTACTCCCAAAGCTCAACCTCTGGCGAATCCACTCCTGTGAGATGCTCGCCCAGACGAGACAGGTCCTGGATCATATAGGGGGCCAGCTCCTGGAACAAAGGGCAAGTGGCAGGCGTGAGCCTGGTGAAGCAGTAGTTCATGGCTTCACGCAGCTGAAGGTGGCGAAGGTCATCCTGGTCTGGGCCATGGGGCAAGTTCCACGAGATCATCATCAGCATCCACATGCCCCGCAACTGGGACTTGGCGAGCGCGTGGTCGACGCTGCGGTTCGCCCCGTGCGACGGGTCGGGGAACCTCATGATATTGATCTTCAGCTCCTCGAAGTAGGTCAAGGCGTTCGTCGCACAGACGCCGTCGCTACCGAGGTCGAGGGACACGGACAGGCAGCGCCAGTTCTTCCAGTTCGGAGCTTTCTCCAAGTCGTCCAGCCTGAACTCCTTCAGGCCCTGCAAGTCGGAGGACACGTTCAGCTGGTTGTCCAAGTTCTGGAGCCAGCGCCTGCTGGCGACCCTGTGGAGCTTCACTGGGCGCCACGCACCAGGCCTAGCGCCTGGGGCACCGCGCGTGAGCCAGGCCATCTGCCGATCCATCACGCTCGCCGTCGTGACCACGGCATCCTCGGGCTTCCGCTTGAGGGAGAGATCCTCGTGTAGCTCGTCGTCGAATTGCCGATCCACCTGGGGGAAACACTCACCCTATACACCAACCCCCCAAGGCCAGAAACGGTGGTGGTGTATAAACCACACGTAAAAACCACCGTCGATCTGTACACCGGTACCGGGTGAGGGTCGAGCCTAAACGAGGTCTTCGAAGACCCCCGAAGCCACCTGAGGAGGCATCAGCACCGCCAAGTTGGAGGGGAGCGTCAGGACAGTAACCTGCAGCGGCAGGTTCCCCACCGAGGCCTTGTCCGTCGCGACCGAGACGCAGCGCGGCTTGCCGATCTGCTGGGCAGCGTTGGTGACGTACTTGGCCAACGCGTGGTCGACGTCCTCGCCGACGCCGAAGCCCTCGGAGGGGTCGTCGAAGTTGAACTCGACGTCGCGCTTGACGGGGTGGCCCCCGTTGTTATCGGCAGCCATGACCAGCTGGAGCTGGTGCGACAGTGCCAAGCAGACCTGTGCGAGCAAGCACTCAGCCACGGGGGAGGACTGCCGAGCGGTCAGCATGATAAGATCCAGCATCGGCAGCTTGTAGAAGTTCTCGCGAGAGCACCGTCCAGCCAAGCACATACTCCACACCTTGTGAGTGAAAGTGTCGCTCCATGCAGTCTGAGCCCTCGAGCAGAAAGCCTGGAGGTCAATCGTCATCTCATCGTCGACTCTGAAAGTCGCGCAGTCGTCCAGGTAGGCAGGCTGGGGGCGAGGCCACTTGCTTGACCACTTGATGTCCAAAAAGATCGGGAAAGACCAACTCCTGCGGTGCATGCGCACGGTCTGAACCACGCTCACCATGAAACCCTGCGCTGCCTTGACCTGCTCGGCGGAGACCTCCCTCTTCATGTCGAAGCCGCCGTAATGCGAAGCACTCCAAGCCCACTTGGCCATCTGGAAGAGAATACCGAAAGTACTCACCGACGTCACCTGCAAACACTTGGCGGGGAACGGGAGCTGCTGTCGCTTGACCGTGTGTGAGGAGACGTAGGTTGCCGTACACGATCTGGCCGCCACCTTCTATCGGGAACCTCCTCTCCCAACGCTCGCAGCTGCGAAAAGCCCACTTCGAAGGCGTACCCTTAAATGCGTCCATCTTCAAGAAGTCATAGATCGAGTGCATGCTCCAGAAGAGGCGCTGCTTCCCAGGACGAGGCATCTGGAAGACGAAGCAGTCGAAGGTGAACGAGGCGCCCCCGTTGATCTGCACATCCACGCAGCCGCTCCTGTGCTTCGCCTGCACATCCCAGAACGACTTCAGCGAAAACGGTCCGGCACTTCTCGGCTCCTGTGGGAGCTGCTCCGCGGCAGCGGCTTCTGCTGAGGTGCAAGAACCAGCATGCGTGCCTGTGATCAATGCAAGGATGCACTCACGCATGCAAAACATGCCGTACATGAGGGTGTGAATCTCCATCCGTGAAGGGGCCAACTAGGCACTTCGTGCAAAGAGCCCGGCTCGACTCCGAAGGCAAGATAGAGGAGCGAATCAACTGCCTAAGCAACCATGCTCGGAGTTACGCGCGGATTTCTTGGATCGGCGCTGAACCCCCCGTCCCGCTCTTGCGCGCGGAGCGCGCCAGGGGCGGCGCCGCCAAGGGGGCCGCGGTGCCGATCCGAGACATCCGCGCGACCTCGAAAAGTTGATGCTTACGCAGTTCTTCGTTCGTCGACAAGATCCATTTTTGACCCGATAGTTGTCGGCCCCACTCGCTGGCACCTGGGCGGCTCCAGCCGACCAGCCACGCTGTCGTGGAGCGCGCTGCATAGGAAAACGCGCGGCACCGCCGCCCGCCGCCGCCTCCCGCCGCCGCCGCCCGCTTCCACCGCCACCACACGGGCGGTGACTCTGGCGACTCTGGTCAGTTTTCGGGGGCGTCCAAGAGGGAGGAGGGGCGCAAGTCATGGCCCGCGGCGTGTGCGCGGCCCAGGGTGGGAAGGGCCGAGGGCGCATTGCAATAAGAAAGGCGCCATGAGATCTCGGGAGACATCATGGCCCCCGCCATGATATCCACCCCCCATGGGAAAGAACACGGGGATTATGACCAAGACCGAACGCAGAAATGCCGTGTTCATCTTGGTCAGCGTCGATCTTGGTCAGCGCCGATTCGTGGAAAACCCTCGCGAATCGGCGACGGCCGACATGGACCGTGACCAAGATCGGTATCGACGCGACATCTTGATCATGGCCCCCGTATTTCTCGGGGGCGCGCAAACATGGATGAGCGATCCATGGACTTGGCGCGCGGTCGCCAAATCCGAGGATCGGGGGAGGTGCCCTCCCTAAATGCCGCCGGTGCCGCAATGCTCGGCGGCGGGAATCCGCGACCTCCCATGGAAACGGGACCCGTCGCTAATCCACGCCCCCTTGATCCATGTTTGCGATCGCCTGCATCATGGCCCCCGTATTCCTTCCCTCGATTTCAGTCGGGCCCGTCCCTCCGATTACAGGAGGAATATTCAGAAACATAGTTTAGACAAAAACCATCGTCAGGGGACTACTCTTCGAGCATCTTTCAACCATTTGCAGGAGGAATATTCAGAAATAGTTCAGAAACGAACCATCGTCAGGGAACTACGTTTTGAGCACCTTTTAACCATTTGGGATTTTGTTTTGGAGCATCTCTATTTTTTCGTCGAGATAACCCCCTGTATGGGGGACACGCCCGACTCGACCCTCGACCCTGGCCGCCCCCGAGCTCCCACGCGCAGCCCACACCCCGGAGCCGCGTGGGCCCCGCCGGCGGCGCGGACCGCGCGGGCGGCCCTGCCTCGGGGACATCTTCTCTGGCCCGGGCCAGTCCAGGCCCGGGGCAGCAGGAGACCAGAAGCTGCCCAGAGATCCGACGTGTTGAAAAAATCAAGACAACAAGTTTTTCGTATGTTTCGCCCTCGAGGGGCCCTCGCCGGGCCTCGGGACCGTCAAAAAACGACTCAGGATGGAAAACCGGTCCTGGGGAAAGGGTGGAGACTTCCAGGGACACCGCATTGAAAAAATCACGACGTCGGATCTCTGGGTGCACGGCAGGACAAAAGAACTGCCACGCAGGTCTTCGCAGACCCGGGTCCGCCAAGATGTGTGCGGCCGCCTCGCGGCCACGAGCGGCTCGCTGACCCGGGTCCGCCAGAGGGGCTCTTCGCAGGATCCTGCAGGATCCGGTGCCGTGGCTGACCCCCGTTTGCATTGACCCCCGTCCCCAGACCCCCGACGTAATGATTTTTTCATTACGTCGACCCCCAGAGGTCTGGACCCTTTCCCCATGACCGGCTTTGCATCCTGAGTCGTTTTTTGACGCTCCCGAGGCCCGGTGAAGGCCCCCGGAGGCCGAAAATTAGGAAAAACATCCCGTCATGATTTTTTCATTACTCGAGGGGGTCTGGGTCTCAAGGCTCCCGACTGCCCGGGGGCACGGCCCGCGCCGGGCGCCGCCCCGTGCGCGCTCCGCCGCCCCGGGGGGGCACGGCTCGAGCACGCCGCCGGCGCCGCCGTGTTCGGGGCCCGGGTCCCCTGGAGGCCCGGGCCACCTCTGCGAGCATCGGCGGTGGACAGACCTCCCTATTTATGACTACCTACCAAACCACCCCAACCCAACCCGAAGACCCGAATTTGACCCGAATTTCGGGTTGGGGGGGGGTACGGGTTCCATGTGTTTTTTCGACGTTCCCCGACCCCCCCCCCCCCCCACTGGAAATCGAGGGTAAATCTGAGCCTTCGGGTTGGGTTGGGGTGGTCTGGTAGGTGGTGAATTTAGCAAGCCTCCCTGCAGTGAAACCGGCCTGGGACCGAAACCGACGGACCTGGACCCGCAAAAATGACGGCCGCGACGCCCTCTCGCGGACCGAGAACGGCCAATTCGCTAATCGACGTGTCAGGGTAGGAGGTCTGTCCACCCCCGAGAGCAGGGGGTCGACTGCAGAACTGACTTGCCCCAAGCTCAGTTTTCCCGTCGAGCGCCTGCGAGACGTTCCCAGGGTGCCTGGAGATCTGCGGAGCACTCTGCGCACTTTTCGTAGACCCGACGGGAAGACCAATCTCGGGGTAAATCAATTCTGTAGTCGATCCCCCAGTCGACTTCTCTGGCACCAGCTTCTCATCCAGGATCGTCCTTGGCGGCTGCAGGGCCTGGCAACGGCCAGGTAGCCTCCCTCTGTGATCCCGTAGCGACGAGAGGAGCTGAGGGGCCCGCGATGCTCTCCCCCCCCCTCCTCTCTGCTGCTGCGACGAGATGACCTGCTTGGCGTCCCGGATGCGGCCCAGGAGGACTCGCGGGCCGGGTGTCGCTAAAGTGCCCCTGGCCCAGGGTGCCCCCAAGATTTCCAAGGAGGCCCTCACTGGAGGAACCAAACATACCGGTACCGCTGCTCCCCGGACCTCTCCCCGGACCATGACTCCGAGGCGCATCTTGCCCTGGCGCCGAGGGCCTGCCAGCAGAACCCGAAAAGGCGACCACGAGGCGAGGGTATCGGTATGGGTGCCTTCTCCTCATCTGGCCCACGGCCTCCGGAGCACCCCTCACGAGGCCCAGATGGTCTCCCGGGCTCCAAAATGGGGAGAGAAGCTGATGGCCTTGTTCTCCACCGCCACCACCCTAAGTAGGAGGGCCTCCTCCTCCTCCTCCTCCTCCTCCTCCTCCTCCTCCTCCTCCTCCAACCTTCCCCCCTCCAACTTATCGCGGTGGTCGTGGAAGACAGGCCTATCAGAAGCTGGAGGCACCTTGGGCCAGGGGTCACCTTCGGCTACCCCCGAGCGAGAGCCGGCGCGGGCGGGAGGGTCGGCCGCGAGGGGGGGGGAGGGGTGCGGGAGGCGGGAGCGAGCAAGGCTCGAGCTGAGCAGTGATTCTCGTGCTCGTTTTGTTTTCGTTCTCCTGCGCTCTGTTCGTTTCTGTTCTCGTTTTGTTTTCGTTTTGTGTTCGTGTTTGTTTTCGTTATGTTTCCGTTTTGTTTTCGATTTGTTTTGTCTTCGTTTTTTCGTTATTGTTTTCGTTTTGTTGTGTTCGTTGTTGTTTTCGTTTTGTCTTCGCGCTGCCTCTGCCGCTGAGCGAAAGCAAAACGGGAACGGTCCGCGGAATCGCCCAAACACCTTGCGTTGCATACCTGGGGGGCCTTGTCTGCCCCCTCTCGGCCCTGTCCGCGCGGAGCCGGTGTCGAACACGTGTCGGACTCGTCGGACCCACGCCGAATCCGCGTCGAACCCGCGTCGAGTGCAGGTCAGCTCCGCGTCGAGTCCGCATCAATGGGCTACACGCAGGAGTGACCCTGGGTAAGAGTGACCTCTGGTGCGCGGCTTTTGGGGGGCCGCGGGGGGGCCAACACACAGGCGCGCAAGGCGCCACCATCGCATGGGCGTTCGGCGATCGGGGAACCCCCTTGTGCCCGCACCAGAGGTCACTCCGGCGACAGGTCACTCCTACGTCGAGTCCGCATCAAGCCCGCATGGGGCACGAGAAGAGGCTCCGATTTGGGGCACGGGCGGGCCCCCCCGAAGGTGCAGCGTAGAACACCGCTCGGCGCGAGCCCCCGGGCGGTGGCTCCTCTCTCCCCCCTCCTGGCGGCTCCGCACCCGTGTTCCCCCTCGTCGTCCTCGTATGCTCGTCGTCGTCGTCGTTGTCGTCGTCGCCGTCGCCGCCGTCGTCGTCGTCGTCGCCGCCGCCGTCGTCGTCGTCGTCGTCGTCGCCGCCGCCGCCGCCGTCGCCGTCATCGTCGTCGTCGTCGTCGTCATCGTCGTCGTCGTCAGCGTCGCCGCCGTCGCGGCCGTCGTCGTGGTGGCGGCAGGGCCCCGCCCCTCAGCGGCGTGATGATCCTCGTGCTCTTCCTCATCCTCCTCTGCCGCCGCTGGATCTCCACGCCTTTCCCCATCCTCCTCTATCCGTCTCTCTCTCTCTCTCTCTCTTCTACACGTCGGTCAGATGAAGTAGGTCGAGACATGAATTAGGAAGGCGGATAAATCAGATTGGGTTCAGGCCCTCCCAGAGAAGAACAACACGCAGCAAAAGCATGTCGGCTCTTGAAATAGGAAGGCGCTTGAAGTAGATCGGGGTCTGGGAATCCAACAATACCCACTTTCAACTACCGGCGTGTATCCGTCTCTCCATGTTCACCTATATATATATAGACATATATCCACACCTTTTGTTCAGAGCACATCGTGTGCTGAAAGGTTGTTGTGCGAGTATGCTGTGATGCATTGTGTGCACGCTCGAGGGAGCGTCTTGACCTGTACGATTGAAACAAAAGCTGATTCTGAATAGGAAGCTTGATTCCTAAAACTCTGACGGGAGCAACATTTCGTAGGCCCCAGCTCCGCCTACCCACGATAATCCAATTTATAATTTCAGCACTCGCAGGGTAGCGTTACCGGTTTCTCTCTGATGGCAGACGCAGGTTGTGCGCTCGTAAACACATGGCGTCTTGGCGAAAATCCCCAGAGGCGCCCAAGACGGCCCAAGAGGGTCCAAAGACAGCCGCAAGAAGGGTCCAAGCGGGGGACACGAACCAGCAATCATAGTCTTCCACCCCATGAGGCTGGCACGGAGACCCCAAGAGGCCCCAAAACTGCCCCCAAGAGGCCCCGAGCACCCCAACGTTTATAACGAGCGTTTCGCCTGGGACATCATGGCACAAGCGAGACATTGGAGATTTATGAGACAAGATGGCTTCCAATACGGCTCACATTGCCAAAGATGGTCCCAAAACTGCCCCAAGACGGCCCGAACATTGCCAAATATGGCCCTCAGGAGGGCCCCAAGAAGGCCACACTACTGTCAAATGTGGACTCCAAGACGGCCGAGCTGTCTCCATGACGGCCAAGCGGTTCGAGGTTCCAATAAGCCACCTCTTCCTCCGCGTTCCCCATCTCATCCTCCCCCCTTTTCCACCCCCCCCCCATTCGTGCGCCCCCAAGTGTTCCCCGAAATGTTTCCCCGGCAGCTCGTGGAACACGCGCGCGAATACCGCGGTTGCACTTTGCCCTGACGTATGTCCGCATAGGCGTTGGACGACGCACAGATCGCCATAGCGCCTTCGGGGAACCAACGCCGATGGCATCTTCAACGTCAGACGAGCCAGTCCGCCGCCCCCTGTTGGCTTGCCACAGGGGTGCCAGGCGTGCTAAGCCCGTGGTTCCTCTTGTCGCCTCCAAAACGGCCAAGATTGCCCGAGATGGCCTCCAAGATGCGTCCAAGATGGCCTCCAAGACGGGTAAGATGGCTCCAAGATGCCTCAAGACGGCCCAAGATGCCTCCAAGACGGCCAAGATGGACCCAAGATGCCTCCAAGATGGCCTAAGAGGTCTCCAAGACGTCCTCCAGGAGAGCCCGAACAGGTCAAAACCATGGGTTGTCCGTAGGTTTTTGATAGGTGTTGGGATGTGCTTCTGTTCGTCCTTCCGACAGCCCAAGACGGCCCAAGAGGCCCAAGACGGCCCAAGATGACCTCAAGATGGCCTAAGACTGCCCAAAGGGCATGTAAAAGGCTTCCAAGACGGCCAAAAAGCCCTCCAAGACGTCCTCCAGGAAGGCCCGAAAAGGCAAAACTCATTGATTGTCCTAATAGTGTTTGAAGGATTTGGGCTTTTGCTCCTTTTCAGCTCTCCGACGGCCAAAAACGGCCCAAGAGGCCCCAAACATCGCCCCCAGAGAGCCCCGTGACAGCCCAAGAGGCCCCCAAGAGTGCCCCAAGAAGGCCCCAAGACGGCCCCAGAGGCCCCCAAGACGCCCAAGATAGCCTCCAAGACGGCCAAGATGGCCTCCACGATGCATCCAAGACGCCCAAGATAGCCGTGACGACGGCTAAGATAGCCCGAAGATGCGCCCAAGACGGCCCAAGATGGCCTCAAGATGGCCTAAGACGGCCCTATAGGCTCGCAAGAGGCCTCCAAGACAGCCCAAGAGTCCTCCAAGACGTCCTCCAGGAAGGCCCGAAAGGGCCAAAATCATTGATTTACCGTAGGGTTTTTGAAGGATTGCAGCTTTTGCTCCTTCTCAGCTCTCCGACGGCCCAAGACGGCCCAAACGGTCCCCAACATCGCCCCAAGAGCGCCCAAGAGGTCTCCAAGATGGCCCCATGACAACCCAAGAGGCCCCCAAGACGGCCCCAAGAAGGCCCCCAAACGACCCAAGATAGCCTCCAAGACGCCCCAGATGGCCAAGGTGGCCTCCAAGATGCCTCCAAGACGGCGAAGATAGCCCCAAGATGCACCCAAGACGGCCCAAGATGGCCTGCAGATGGCCTGAGACTGCCCAAATGCCCGCAGGAGGCCTCCAAGACGACCCAAGACCCCTCCAAGACGTCCTCCAGGAGGCCCGAAAACTCGGAAACCACCTGGTCCGCTAGCTCGCCCGACGCCGTGTTCCCCGAAGGCTTTCGAAACCCACTCGGGGAACGCGTGGCCCGATAGCTTGGACAAGCTCAAACCCAACCGGCCACGCAGGCGCTTCAAAAAAGGCAGGGGGCGGCGGTGATTCGCCGTAGGCGTCTTCGATCCGTCGCCCCCTGTTGGCTTGCCACAGGGGTGCCCAGCGTTCTGGACCATTTCGCTGTTGGTGTTGGTCCTTGTCCAAAAGAACTCCCCCTGGGGCTTCGGCCGATCCCGCCAAAGTCCCGGAAAGGCCCTGAAACCACCGCAACGACCGCAACAGATCTCCAAGACGGCTCAAGATGGCTTCTAAGATGTTCACGTTGGCCCAAGATGGCCTCCAAGATGGCCTCCAGGTCGCCAAATATGGTCCAAGATGGCTTTCAAGACGGGACGGCCCGAGAGAGTCCACGATGCCTCCAAGTTCGTCCAAGAAGCCTTAAAGACGGCCCAGGATGGCTCCAAGATGGCCTAAGACTGGCCAAGAGGCACCCAAGAGGCCTCCAAGACGTCCAACACGACGGCCCGAAAGGGCAACAATCATTGATTTCCCTTCGGTTTGTGAAAGATTTTGGCATATTCTTCTTTTCGGCTCTCCGACGGCCCAAGGCGGCCCCAGAGGCCCCCAACATCGCCCGAAGAGCGCCCAAGAGGTCTCCAAGATGGCCCCATGACAGGCCAAGAGGCCCCCAAGAGGGCCCCCCAAAGATCCCAAGACGGCCCAAGATGGACCCCAAGACAGCCGAAATGGTCTCGAAGACGGTCAAGATGGCCTCCACGATGCCTCCAAGACGGCCAAGAAGGCCTCCACGAGTGCGAAGATGGCCCCAAGATGCACACAAGACGGCCCCAGATGGTCTAAAGATGGCCTTAGACTGCCCATGAGGTCCGCCAGAGGCCTCCAAAACGG